GCTATTACTATAATAAATTTCAATCTTGCATAAACATTAGCATAGGCCAGTTATCACTCTCAGGTACTTTACTTGCACTAACTAATTTAACCCTGGCCAATGACTACAAAACGTAGGAATTATCACTAGTACATGTACAAGGTAAACAAACAGAAGTACTGAGAAGAGAACTTGCCTCGAATCCTACACTTAACGTGGCCTCCTGTAGTTAGGAGTCCTGGAGTCTGTTCTGGCTCACAGTGACCCAATGCAGCAATAGAAGAAAAGGCCCTGGGACTGGTTTCCCCCTCACTGTGATTGAACTCACTGCTGCAGCCACTCGAGAGGTTGACCCTCTACTTTAGCAGGGCTGGGGTCCTCCCTACGAGGACTGTTCCCTCCAAATAACGTGTCCCAAGGACGTAAGATTCACTATTCTTGTTTCTAAGGAGCATTCTGGCTGAATGTCTTCCAAGACACGATTATTCATTCTTCTAGAATTACAGGGTACATTCAATATTCTTTGCCAACACCGTAATTCAAAGATATCAATTGTTCTCTGGCCTTTTGTAGTCATTGTCCACCTTTTATGTGTATATGAAATTAAAAAATACTGTGTTTTGGGTCAAGTACACATTAGTCCTCAAAGTGGCTTCTTTCCTTTATAACACTTTAAAAGAGATCTTTTGCCGTTTTTAGCCAACGTGATAAGTAGTTTGATCTCTTGGCTGCTGTTTCCTTGGAAGTTAAGAGTTGCGCCAAGTACAATTAAATCCTAGACAACTTCGGTCTTCACTTATCATGTGGTCGGCTATTGGTCCAGTTGAGCAGATTTTAATTTTCTTTATGTCAGGTGTGATTTGTACATGTAGACACACAATAGGCGTATAAAATTTGATATTATGATGCCCTGAAAGTAATCTTCAGAAATGTAATTCATGGTTATTACATCCCAGACCAGTTCTTCTTACTAGCTACCCTCCACTAGTGAATGAATACATCACATCTCCATGCATTGACACTAAACATTCAACTTCCTCCTCTGAAACTTACAAATTCTTGGTCAAGTAGTCACCTCTCAAACAATTTGATTTTAGAAGTTATGATTCGCAAAAAAAATGCCATATATCTTATATTGGGGTGAGTCTCTTGGTACCTAGGACAGATCCTAAATTGCAGAAAAACGAAGGTACTTCTGTATGGTAAGCTAGTCTTGCCTTGCTCTTGGTGGGGGTGGGGTGGGCAGTGGATTATTTAATGTGATTGGTTCTTCTTAAATCAGTTTTGAGGCTTCTTGCAAATTCAACTTTAAATCTTCTATTCAATACAAAGAGCACTACAGAAATCAAAGCAATTAAAAGAAGGTCTATTTCTTTGAATAAACAATGATTCAGAAACTTACTTCATTAACAAGTATATAAAAGCCTATCTTGGCTGCAGAGTCAGTGAATTATTTAATGTGCTCTTCTATCCAAAGTCTCTCTAACTCCCACCAAACCACCTTTCCCTGCAGGGGTCTGGTAAGAAGGAGGGGAAAGCTACTGATAGGATTCACCTGTGATTAACTACAAACAGGCTTCCCTGGCATGGCATCCTGCTGTGTATAAAATGAGCCCTTGGAGAATCTAAAGGAGGGATCTCTTTACTATCAAGAGCCAGGAATGGGACACCTCCTCCGGACCCAAGATGCCCAAAGTGAACTTCCTGGATCCGGATGACAGCTATACCATCAGAGGAACAGCAACAGAACCAGGAGCCAGAGCATGGAGCAGAGTGAAGGGCTTCCCAATCCACAGGGTAAGTAAAGCTGAGTGATTTTGCGCAGCAGGCTGGCTTGCAGAGAAGGGTACCTCTTGGCCCTTAATTGGGGAAGTTGGGCTTGCTGACCCACAGGAGTGGAACTGCGTGCCTTCGGGCTGAGGCTTACGGGAGGAGGTTGCACTTAATTCGGGGAGCTGGGTTTGCTGACCTTTGAAGCTTGAGTTGAGTCTCCAGATTGAGGCTTATAGCAGAGTGGTGTGCCCTTTGGGCATTTATTAGCAACCTGAAAGAACTTTGTAGCATGTCCAGGCAAACAACTCTACCCTGGGCATGTCTCACTGGTAAAGACAACCTGTTAAATTCCTTCATAAACCATTTGAACGTGGTTTATTGGGTGAGGGTTTACAGAAAATCAGTTTTCCAGTCAACAATTTATACACATTTTGTTTCATCTCATTCATTGCAATCTCCACAATGTATTGATCACTTCCCCTGTCTTCTTCCTGTGTTTCCTGCGTCCATTTTCCCTCTTTCCTAGCACTTTCTGCCTTCTGAACCTCCTCCTGGGGCTAATGTTGCCATTCTGATGTCAAGTGGTAGTTTATTCTGAGGAGTGTGCACCTCCCTAGTGCTCTTAGGGTTCAGTGTGTAGATATCTCTACTGCTGGGCTGGAACATCAGCCATAGGGGTGAGGTCATTTCTAGACCTGAAAGGTGATTTAGGGTAATAGTCTCAGTGGGAGACTACCTTTCATCTACCTCACTAAACCTCAAAACAAAATGGGTATTCTAACTTAAACCTTAGTATCCTCTCTATTGTTATTTTCATCTCAGCATGTGTCAGGGCATATTTGTTTCAGCAAAATGAAATCTTTCTTGAGAACGGATCTGTTCAAACCCTACACACTCTCCAATCCTCTCATATATTCTTCCTTTATATTGAATTTCGGTGGCACAAATCAAGGTTACAATGAATTCTTTGTAGTATTCGCTTTTCTAACTGTTCACAGACATGTTGACTTTTTAAAAAATTTTATTGGGGCTCTTATCGCTCTTATAACAATTCATACATCTATTGTATCAAGCAAGATGTTGCCGTGATTTTTTTTAAACCTTTTATTGTGCTTTAGATGATTTACATAGCGAATTGATTTTTCCAATCAATAATTCACAAATAAACGGTTTGTAACATTGTCTGCAGTCCTGGAAATGGGTGAGCATGCCTTTTTCCGCCCTGGCTCCCAGTTCCCATTGATCTGATTGTCCTGTCCCTTTCTGCTTTCTCATGTCTGGTGGGGGGCAAATGTTGCCCTTTGAGGCTCATATAGTAATTGTTCTATGGAGAACACTCTGCATGGGTGTTAGTGTTACTTGAATAGATTGGTCTTTTAATTGCAGGAGAAAGATGAGGCTTTCTCTTCCCATAGAGAATAAATGTAGGAAACCCACGAGGGGCAGTTCTACCTTGTCCTATAGGGTTGTTATGAAACTTGGAAACCCAAAGTGGCAGTTCTACCTTGTGCTATCCGGTTGTAATGAGTCAGAATTGACTCACTGGCAGTAAGTGTGGGCTTGAGTTTAGACTATTAATTGGCTGAAAGGGGGCCTCCTGTGGTGTCTTCAGTACCAAGTCTTAAGGTGACACCCTCAGTGTTTCCTTCCGTTTCTTTCAGACCAATAGATCTTGCCTTTTTTTTTTTTTTTCAATTTGAATTTCATTCTACCATTTTTTACCCATTCTAGTTGTGGCCTTCTATAGAGTTCCTGGTCAGAGTAATGGGCAATATAGCCAAGCACCATCTAGCAATTCTGCTTGGGGGTTAAAGGTGCCTTTCCTCTGGGTCATTAATCTTTTGGCGCACTGACCACTGCATCCAATCAAATATCATCAGTAATCACCATCATCTTGCATCCGGTGGGTATTCATTATCTTGCATTCGGTAGGTGTCTAGCTTAAAAAGAAAGTGCTCGCTGTGTACCAACCATATTTAATTCTGAACTACCAACCATATTTAAATAGAATTCTCAAACAATACATTTTGACTCCATGAAAATTTTACAATAAGTTCTTTCATTTTAAAATATCCACAAAGTATCAAGAAACATAAACATAGTTCCCAAGAGAATCACAAATTAATATTAAGGGATTCAAACTAACAAAAATCTTTTTAAAATCATTTCATATGAAATTTAGTTTATTACAAAAATATTTGTCTAATGATTTTTGGAGTAAAAATGAAAAAAATCAAACATCTTAAAAGAAAACCAGAATTTATCAAACATAGTTGATTTTAAGTAGTAATAGTATGGAAGCCCCAGGTAGCTAGCTATAAAACACACGGACAAAAGTAAACCCATACAAGATTTAGCTCTCTGTAAACAAAGACATCTGAAAATACCTGATTATTAGATAAAAATAACCAGGCACTCAAAAAACTACTAAAATGGCATAAAGTTAGCATTTCAATTTCATCAAACTAAACATAGTTCACAGAATGGAACTATTAAAAAATAAATAAAAGCAAAGTCATTTATCACGAAGTGATTAAAGAGATGGAAGAGAACTTTCTTCTAACTCATTAAACTCACCAAAACGCTGAACTCTGGACCCTTCGCACTTTCCTATGCCATTAAAGAATTTAAGTAGGTTCACTGAATTGACCGATTTCTTTGTTAACCTATTTACATGGGTTAAGACCTAACTGACATAAAAACACAAGGAAAAAATACCAGACTGAGAGGGTAATGAAAGACTACGTGATATATGTTTGGGGTACAGCCTATCCAATACATGTGCTTGGCTAGTAAAGGACCCATTGGCAGAGATTTATTATCGGAACAAACGTATTTTCAAAAGATCAGCTACAATAAGACCTGCAGAATAAATACAAATTCCTCTAAAACATAGTTCTTTGCCCTGTATAGTATATAGCTTCTTTCTATAATTATATTAAAATTCTTAATGTTTTTATTCAAGAATAAATTTCTTGAACCAGTAAAAACAAGTATAGTATATGAAACTCAACTACTAATGGAGTTCTTTGATTAATACAAAAGAAAACACAGTTTGTTTTACTTTGAGCTTTTCAATAATTTCAACCATGAAGGAAATATTTCTAAGGAAAATAATATGTTGAGAAAAGGTAATAATGCATAACTTCTTAGAATAATAACTGCCTATTATGATTTAACTATATAATATATGAATGGCAAATTTGTACATTTGAAGACTAGACATAGAAATATTAAAAAAGTTATACCTCCGAGTTCTTTTACATTCAAGATGGCATTCTGGAATGGCACTGCTTTTATACTAAAACCTAAAATTAAAAAACAAACACATAAAGAGAATTAGCAACAAAACTTTAAAATTTTACTTTATTCAGCTGATTCATAGTAGGAAAATGAGTAAGATATTTCCAAGATAAACTGATAACCCAACATCATCTACCATTTTTCAAAACATAGGTGTATGAAATATAATATCCCTTTTGCTTTAAAAAAGTTGATTTTTAAGTTAATATGTAATGTCAAGATGTAAATTTTATCAACTGAAAGATATTTGGTACTAAATAAGAATCTAAAAGATAACATTAAAACAATAGGATCTTTGCATCTAACTAAATTTTAAAGTCCTACAATTTTCTCTCAAGTTTAATTCACCTGTCTTAGAGGTTAAGATACTCACATGATAATCCCCTACTGGTAGAATTATGTAATATTGATTGAACATTTCCTTTGAAGGACATGGTTAATATGTGCCAAAGACATTGTTCTTGAAAGTACAATTGTAAGTATCACTGCATAGGTAATAATTTTATGCTACATACAATACATTATTTCTGTTATAAATGATCTATCTAAAGTACACATTTTTCATATGGTTGGCTGTTGGGGGGGGCTGGACTGTTAAATTTCAAGTGAATCAATTAAGATATAACTGAATGTTATGTGATATAACCATATATATGCCTATATATTTATGAGGGAGTTTGAAGACGTCCTGTGTAACCAAATATATCTGCTGAATGTTTCCGAAAGGTCATTAAGGGCTGAGGGGACCAGGTTTCAAGCACCAAAAGTGGGGGGAGCGGGGGAGGGGGGAACAAAAAAAAACCATATCATCGTGAATGAGGGGTGCGCATGATAGGGACCCAATGCACATCTGTAGACAACTGGACATCCCTTGCAGAGGGGGAGTGGGGAGGAGATGAGTCACTCAAGGTTCAGTGTAGCAATAATGAAACTCACAACCTTCCTCTAGTCCTTAAACTCTTTCTCCCCCCAACTATCATGATTCCAATTCTACCTTGCAAACCCGGTTAGACCAGAGGATGCACAGCGGTACAGATGGGAACTGGAAACACAGGGAATCCAGGACAGATGAACCCCTCAGGACCAGTGGTGAGAGTGGCGATACCAGGAGGGAAGAGGGGGTAGAAAGGGGGAATGGATCACAAGGATCGACATATAACCGCCTCTCTGGGGGATGGGCAACAGAAGGGTGGGTGAAGGGAGACGCCGGGCAGTGTAAGATAAGATAAAATAATAATTTATAAATTATTAAGGTTTTATGAGGGAGGGAGGAGAAGGGGAAAAAGGAAAATGAGGAGCTGATTCCAGGAAAGCGAATTTTGAGAATGATGAGAGCAATGAATGTATAAGTGTGCTTTACACAATTGATGTATGTATGGATTGTGATAAGACTTGTATGAGCCCCAATAAAATGATTTAAAAAATAAATAAAAATAAAAACAAGGGGGAGAAAAAAGGGGAGGTCCATCCAATGTTTCATTTAAATATTTTACCCTGTAGATTCTTCTTCAATTAAAAGCCTCACTATCGGTTTTAAGCATTGTTTACGATGTACAATTGAAAGGTTGATAAAATAAAATTTTCTTTATATGAAATTATCAAAAGAGTAAAAGAGAACACAAATATTTTTCATTTAAAGTCAATGATGCAAGTGAATAGAAAAGCAAAGCAAAAAGTGCAGAAGACTAGAGCAAGTTTTTTACATGGTTGTATTTTGCCTTATAAAAAATTATTATGTACCTATGAATTCTATTTTTAGTATTCCTTTGCTATATTAATATTTTCTTGTCCTAGTAGAGATTCTACACATTATCTTTCATTTGAAGACCAAATAAACCAAATCACTGCTGTCAAATCAATTCCTACTCATAGCGACTCCAGAGGACAGGGAAAAGCTGCCCGTGTGGATTTCTAAGACCGTTTATCTTTACAGGAGCATAAAGCCTCATCTTTCTCCTGAGGGTGATTTCTGAATTGCTGACCTTTCTGCTGCCAGCGCAGAGTGTCACCCAGCAGGGCCCCTTCTGTTTGAGGCCATGAGTATACCAGGAGTGCTCACGATGCGGTAAGTACTGGATGGATAATTGTGAGGTGGGAGGCTTCAGCCTGCCGGCCGCTCTGAATGAGATAGGCAAAGTCATCTGTTCCGGTACAAGTCTACAGCGTCGGACGCGCTATAGAGCAGTGCTTCTCAACCTTCCTAAGGCCGCGACCCTTTCATACAGTTCCTCATGTGGTGCCGACCCCCCAACCAGAACATTATTTTTGTTGCTACTTCATAACTGTCATTTTGCTACTGTGATGAATTGGGCGACCCCTGCGAAAGGGTCGTCTGACCCCCCAAAGGAGTCACAACCCACAGGTTAAGAACCGCTGCAAGTGGGTCCCTATGTGTAAGAATCAACTTGATGGCAGTGGGCTTGGTTTTGAGGTTGTACATTAAGTAATGGTTACACAATTGACTTCGGATTCAAACAGGACTAGGTGTAAATTTTAGCTCTTATACTGATAAATCTATGTCAATATGGACAACCTACTAGCTCTAGCTTCCTCATCTGTAAAACGAGTTTAACATCCACCTCACAGGGCAGTTAGAAGGATACAATACTAGATACGCATATATTGTGTTTATCATAATGCCGGGTGCACAAAAAGAACACCATATATCATTTCTAGCATTCATTGCAACTAATGCTTGACTGCTAGCAATTTAATCACTAGGCATGTGTACTGTTTACTTGCCCAAATCTACACATGAAAGACTTTCTTAGGTGCTCATTTACTACTAATCTGAGTACTTTGTAAGAACGGTAAAAGATCCCAACAAATGAAAGGTAGCTCCAAATGAGTGACGGAGATGGGAACAGTTGACCTTGGCTGGACACAGAAGACAAATGTATCCATGTGGATGGCACAGCCTTCTGGTGACTGGTGTGGGCAGTGAAATCTAAGGAGGAATGACTAGCAGGTGGCTGAAACAGTGGTGTGGTCCTGGGCCTGCAGGAGAGCCTCTCCAGGTGTCTGACATCTGGGACATTAGGAGAAGCCAGCAGTAATCACAATACTCCTGCTGGCACCAAAAGTGGCCTGCAGGAGACTCGGACACTTGGCTTTACTTACTGACCTCACATGGGTGCTCTATGGATTAAAAGGCCACGATTGCGAAACCCTGACAACGAAAAGCCCCATACAAATACTAAGCACTCTTTTAGTTATGCTAAACAAATATTAGGGAGTCAAAAAGTAGTAGTGGTCATGCTCAGAACAACGCAGACGGGGTTGTTGTAGGCCCTAACTCTGAAAAAGGAGCAGGTGTGGAGCACACCAGCAATCTTTAATCTGCGTTCACTAGTAACAGCTAACAAGACACAGACACCCAAAGGGAAGTAATATCCATCAGAAACTGCCACACCCATATGCAAAACGCAATTTATGATACTTATTAAGCCGAGTGACAGATTATATCACAGCTATCATCTTTAAATCCTTGCAGGCTTCATAAAAAATGACTACAAAAATGTCCCTGAGTGTTCACACTAAGCAAACCTAGAAATGTTATTTATAGGCACGTAAATGCCTCTGCAGACTTCCCATAAATGTTTTCCCCTCAAATAGGACACGTGTGGCTAAGTTTATAGTGCAACGGTATATATAATCTTCCTTACTGCGGTCTTCATATGATTTCCAGACGATAGCTGCGGTATGTACGGAAGATAAAATCAAGATCATTAGTCCAGACAGCAGGAAACTATTCACGAAAGAGAAGCAATACCGTTTCTGTTGCCGTGAGTCTAAATGTGTTGGAGGGTTGCTGGCTGCTTTGTTGCCAGGTGCCCTGGAGTTGTTCCTGACTCACAGCGACCGTATGTCCACCAGCGCAAAACACTGCCTGTTCCGTGCCAGCCTCACAACCATCTCGATGCTGAAGCCTACCATCATTGCCGCTGTGTCAATCGTCTTGTTGAGAGTCTCGTTCCTCATCCCCCACCCCCCCCACCCACTACCCTGCCAACCATGCTGTTCTCCGACAGGAGGGAGAGGCTCTTTCTGGTTGGACGTCCAAGGTGTGATAGCCACCCTTGCTTCTAAACAGCATTCTGGTTGTACTTCCTCCAAGTTATATTGGTCTTTTTGTCCTGGCAATCTATTATATATTCAATCTGCTTTTCCAAGCCCATAATTCAAGTGCATCGATCCTTAAACATTTGTTTAACAATCGATCCTTCATTGCCCAGCTTTCGTATGTCTCTATGAGGCAACAGAAAATAGCATGCCAATGGCCAATGACACCTTAGTCCTCAAAACGGCAATGCCCTACGTAGATCTTCTGCAGCAGATTTACTCGGTGCGATACATTGTTTGCTTTTTTAGACCGCTCTTTCTCTGAGTGTTGGTGGCGTATTCAAGTAAAAGGAAGTCCTTCGCAACTTCAACCTTTGCTTCATTTATTGTAGAGGTTGAGAGGATTTCTGTTTTCTTTCTGCTGAGCCTGCGGGAGTCTGTAATCTTTGATCTTCGTCGTTTCAAGGGCTAACATGGGCTAAACATTTCAAGCCATCCTTTTCCTTCACCAGGACAAGAGTCTGCATTATACTGACCCCTTAAGAGAATGAACGTAGTAGCAAGAGTTTAGAAAGCCTTTTGTCACAGACACGATTAATAAAAGCAGCAACTCAGGTGAAGGAAACTGTCCTTCTTCTCAGCCATGCCGGTGTCCTCTCCTTTATGTGTCCCCGCCTGCCCTCCTTGGTTAATCCTCGACTTCCTCTGGTCTTTGGCTCTTCTTGCTATTGTTACTTACAGTTTTTGATGCCTATTGCCCCATTGGGCTTTCTTGGCTATAGTCTGTACTCGGGCAGTTGTTGGGTGGGTTCAGACGTCAACCTCTGAGTTCACAGCAAAGCACCTACCGGCACAAGCAGGGCTCCTTGGTTGCTTCTCTTAAAGTAAGGGAGCTCTCACCTCTCTGGAAGGACAAGAGCACTGTCTTATGAGTCAGACTGAG